TTTCAATCACAGCTTTTTATGGCGTCTGGCTGAAAGCAGAGGAGCGAGCCAAGAAAAATACAGCAGTCACAACAAAGCTCAACACAAGCAAAAACCAGAATCTCGCATGGTGCCTCTATTGTGCCTAATTTTGACTTTTTCTCTAATTAAAAAGAGACAGTACTGTGAGCTGGGAGCTGGAGAAGACGAAGTAAGGCGTCTTACTTCTTCCAAACTTTCACAAGAGTACTGCATTGGTTGCTTCAGAGCGATCATCTTAACACTGTGCTCATGATGGATTCATGTTGGGTCTTTGTAGATAACATAACAAAGAGTCTTTAACCTGCCTCTTTAAAGTGTCTACACATTATATCTGTTATGAATTGGTGCTATACAAATACTGACTGAGCTTTGTTTACCTCTCTCTCCTCTCCTCCTCTTCCTCCTCTCCTCCTCTCCTCTCCTCATCTCCTCTACTCCTCTTCCTCCTCTTCTCCTCTCCTTTACTCCTCTCCTCATCTCCTCATCTCCCTCTCCTCTCCTCTACTCCTCTCCTCATCTCCTCTTCTCCTCTCCTTTCCTCCTCTCCTCCTCTCCTCATTTCCTCTACTCCTCTCCTTTCCTGTACTCCTCTCCTCTCCTCTCCTCTCCTCTCCTCTCCTCTCCTCTCCTCTCCTCTTGATTAGTTGAAGTGAGGAAAAAAACTGATTCGGAATTTTTAAAGAAAATGCTTAAAAGATATTATTGTTATTCATTTTGTTGATTGGGTTGGCGAGACTTCCTCGATATCCAATTTAATTTAGCGAAGCAGAAAATGTGAGTTACTTCTCGCTTTAACCTGCTGACTTTTCAGGACATCCAAAATAACTCGTATCATTTTGGATAAAAATAAATATCCAGATTGACGCTTGAGAAACACACTAAACATAAACTCTAATTATTGAAGTGTAAATGGGAATGGGAGTGGGTCACTGGTTTCCAAAAGGTAGATTTGCAGAGAGGATGTGAGAGTTCTCAGGTGGTTCTGGTTCTTTAAGAAGACATTCTGCTTCAACAGATCCCTGCTCTCTCTCCTCTTCTGCACGCTCCTTTATTTCCATCTTTAGCTCAAAGCTCGAGGTGTTTCTCCTCTTCAAACAAACACATTAAGAGAAAGGCGCTTTCAATCTTTTCTCCCCTACTGCCTCACTTTCCCACGATGCACTGCTGTTTCCAAACAAGACAGGACAGCCAATCGACGTGACCCGCCTTCAGCTTGCCGTTGCGCCTGCTCTTGTTTTCTATTTGAAAAGCAGCGCACACTCTCACAGGCCGTTTAGCCCGAGCCGTAAAGACAGAGGCACGAGCTGAGAAAGATGTTTGTTTGTGTACGAGCGTATGAGATCGTCTTTGTGTTTCTCTTTCAGTGAGCTCCACTATGAGCTCCACTGGTCATGCAGAAGCGCCCTGCTGCAGAACAGGAGAATCAAAGGATGAAGAAAGAAGAAGAAGAGGGAGATATTTAGAGAAGAAAACCAAAGCCTGACGGTGTTTTCCCATCAGGTTGGATTTCTTGGATGGTTGTGATTTGACATGAACAGAGTGGATGTAAACACAGAGACAGGACAGTAAGGATCCACCCTCAACACTTCCTGATGAGAAGAAATGACTCGCTTTCTCAGTTGATTGCTTCGATCTTCAGAGTGACAGAAATGGGTGAAAGAAGGCCGTCACACATTCTGGAGACTGTGACGTCTGCAGGAACAAATAGCTCCACACACCTCCAGCCACAATCTGCTCAACTACCTAAAAACTCTAATCCTGTTAGGTATTAAAAGAAGACACTGAGCGGTAAAACATGAGCTCAGTGCAGGCCGATAAGGACTTTCCATTGCTGATGATATAAAAAGACATGCAGCAAGGACTCTAACCTCTGTATGTGGGGGGTCTGAGGGACAAGAGCGCCCCAATGTGAGCTGCAAACAAACTATTAGGCAGCTTCAAATCTCCCACTGCAGCAGGTTTGCCATCATAACGTGAGGAAGAGGGATTTTCCAGCTGCTCTGTTTGCTTTCCTTTGAATGCATGCACGTTCAAAAAGTGCCGCCATCAGCACGTTTCGTTCAGTTTCCAACAAGGTTCAGGAGAAATGAAGGACATGCCGTGGCTGCCAATTCATACTTATGAAACTTCATTACATCCCTGTGGATTCTGTGGGAAGCTTTGAAATGAAAAACCCTGATTGTGGGAGACTTCATTGAGTTGCATTATGGGAAATGGGGAGCTTGACTTGGTTAGGGACTAAAAGTGAGGAAAGCTGGGCCTGCGCTGCCATAATTCTGTTTTTGCTGCAGTTGTTAGCGTCTTCCTGCAGACGTCCCAGAGTCCTTTCAGTGCAGAGAGGAGAGGAGAGGAGAGGAGAGGAGAGGAGAGGAGGAAGAGAGGAGAGGAGAGGAGAGGAGAGAGAGGAGAGGAAGAGAGGAGAGGGGAGAGGAGAGGAGGAAGAGAGAGAGAGAGAGAGAGACAACTGTCTAGTTTGATGAGCAGGAGCCTCCAACTTTTGTCAACTAAGTTGACTAAGTTTCTCCAGACACAGCAGACTAGTTTTCCCCACACAGCAGACTAGTTTCCTCCACACAGCAGACTAGTTTCCTCCACACAGCAGACTAGTTTTCCCCACACAGCAGACTAGTTTCCTCCACACAGCAGACTAGTTTCCTCCACACAGCAGACTAGTTTCCCCCACACAGCAGACTAGTTTCCTCCACACAGCAGACTAGTTTTCCCCACACAGCAGACTAGTTTCCTCCACACAGCAGACTAGTTTCCTCCACACAGCAGACTAGTTTTCCCCACACAGCAGACTAGTTTCCTCCACACAGCAGACTAGTTTCCTCCACACAGCAGACTAGTTTCCCCCACACAGCAGACTAGTTTTCCCCCACACAGCAGACTAGTTTCCCCCATACAGCAGACTAGTTTTCCCCACACAGCAGACTAGTTTTCCCCACACAGCAGACTAGTTTCCCCCACACAGCAGACTAGTTTTCCCCACACAGCAGACTAGTTTCCCCATACAGCAGACTAGTTTCCCCCATACAGCAGACTAGTTTTCCCCACACAGCAGACTAGTTTCCTCCACACAGCAGACTAGTTTCCCCCACACAGCAGACTAGTTTCCCCTCACACAGCAGACTAGTTTCCCCTCACACAGCAGACTAGTTTCCCCCACACAGCAGACTAGTTTCCCCCACACAGCAGACTAGTTTCCCCTCACACAGCAGACTAGTTTTCCCCACACAGCAGACTAGTTTTCCCCACACAGCAGACTAGTTTTCCCCACACAGCAGACTAGTTTTCCCCACACAGCAGACTAGTTTCCCCTCACACAGCAGACTAGTTTTCCCCACACAGCAGACTAGTTTCCTCCACACAGCAGACTAGTTTTCCCCCACACAGCAGACTAGTTTCCCCCACACAGCAGACTAGTTTCCCCACACAGCAGACTAGTTTCCTCCACACAGCAGACTAGTTTCCCCTCACACAGCAGACTAGTTTCCCCCACTCAGCAGACTAGTTTCCCCCACTCAGCAGACTAGTTTCCCCCACTCAGCAGACTAGTTTCCCCCACTCAGCAGACTAGTTTCCCCACACAGCAGACTAGTTTTCCCCACACAGCAGACTAGTTTCCCCCACACAGCAGACTAGTTTTCCCCACACAGCAGACTAGTTTCCTCCACACAGCAGACTAGTTTCCCCTCACACAGCAGACTAGTTTCCCCCACTCAGCAGACTAGTTTTCCCCCACACAGCAGACTAGTTTCCCCCACACAGCAGACTAGTTTTCCCCCACACAGCAGACTAGTTTTCCTCCACACAGCAGACTAGTTTTCCCCACACAGCAGACTAGTTTCCTCCACACAGCAGACTAGTTTCCCTCACACAGCAGACTAGTTTCCCCACTCAGCAGACTAGTTTCCCCCACTCAGCAGACTAGTTTCCCCCACTCAGCAGACTAGTTTCCCCCACTCAGCAGACTAGTTTCCCCACACAGCAGACTAGTTTCCCCTCACACAGCAGACTAGTTTTCCCCACACAGCAGACTAGTTTCCCTCACACAGCAGACTAGTTTCCCCTCACACAGCAGACTAGTTTCCCCTCACACAGCAGACTAGTTTCCCCCACTCAGCAGACTAGTTTCCCACACTCAGCAGACTAGTTTTCCCCCACACAGCAGACTAGTTTCCCCACACAGCAGACTAGTTTCCCCTCACACAGCAGACTAGTTTCCCCCACTCAGCAGACTAGTTTTCCCCCACACAGCAGACTAGTTTCCCCACACAGCAGACTAGTTTCCCCTCACACAGCAGACTAGTTTCCCCCACTCAGCAGACTAGTTTCCTCCACACAGCAGACTAGTTTCCCCTCACACAGCAGACTAGTTTTCCCCACACAGCAGACTAGTTTTCCCCACACAGCAGACTAGTTTCCCCTCACACAGCAGACTAGTTTCCCCTCACACAGCAGACTAGTTTTCCCCTCACACAGCAGACTAGTTTTCCCCCACACAGCAGACTAGTTTCCCCCACACAGCAGACTAGTTTCCCCTCACACAGCAGACTAGTTTCCCCCACTCAGCAGACTAGTTTCCCTCACACAGCAGACTAGTTTCCCTCCACACAGCAGACTAGTTTCCCCCACACAGCAGACTAGTTTCCCTCCACACAGCAGACTAGTTTCCCTCCACACAGCAGACTAGTTTCCCTCCACACAGCAGACTAGTTTCCCCCACACAGCAGACTAGTTTCCCTCCACACAGCAGACTAGTTTCCCCCACACAGCAGCTGGTCTGTGAGGTCTGCTGCTGCGCTCTGAGGCTCTCTTTATCTCCACCGGTACATCTCGCTCTCCTGCGTTTGTTATCGCTAATGCTATCGAGCGCTAAACACAACAAGTTCAGTCTGTATTCTCTGCAGGCTTTCAGAACCATTTAGAGGTATCAAGTGTGCTTAAAAGGTGAAGTAGAGTTTCATGATTTTTACCTGTAATGTCGGGTTTCTGCGGCATGAAGAACTGATAGAAGGTCGGCTCCGACAAGCCTTTGACGTTGCGCGCCGTGATTTCCACTTCGTATCTCGTGTTCCACTGCAGCGGCTGCAGCATGGCGAAGTCATTGGCTCCTGGTACCAACTTGGTCATCCACTGCTCCTCTTTATCCTGAGAGGACAGAAAAGAAAAGTGAGACACACAGGTCTCACACTCTTGATGAAATAAGAGTTTTTTAATCAACGCTCTACATTTTTAGTCAGCGAGCATCACAGCAGAGCAGAGGTTTGTGTTGTGCTGCGTGATAAACAACAGCTTTGTGTGTTTAATCTGGGGATTCTGACGGGTTACCGCAATCAGAAGTGGAGTTGAAAGTTGTGAATCGCCCACGCAGAAAAGGGTAATCCTCTGTTTCTACTCAAGTTCACACAAGTTCTCTGATACCTCTCTGTTCCTTTGCGGCTGCAGCCTTTTCTCTCCCCCCTCCCCTTTTCCTTACATCATCCTTTCTTTTCACCACTTCTCTCCCTCATCCCCCCCTTGAGACGACTGAAAACAAAAGGAGGGAAACCGAGGAGTCAGGCTGCTCAGCTCTGCACTGAGAGGAAGCCAAACCAAGAGGAGAATGTGCACCGATCTTTATTTCACTCCTTACCAATTTTAGACAAAAAGACGACGCTCTCATAGTCAACATCCAGGGCACAGATGTGACAGACTGTGTGTGCACCTTCTAGTCTATGTCTGTCTTCATGCCAGATCACAGCCTGAATAGAAGATGTCGTCGATACAGATGTGTTGATAAAATGCCTGGCTGCACTTTGGACGATGCATTTTGAAACTATTTCCCAGCGTACAGCACATTCAGGTTGAAACGTTCTTCACAATATGACTCAGACTACAAACTAACTCGAATACTTTCATCATCAGATATTATCCCTTCTCATCAGATTCTGCAAATATCTCTTCATAGAGATGAACATGTTCCCCCAATGAGTTTTCAAGTTGTGCATACAGCATGATGTTGATTATGAGCCTTATTGGAGTAAATGAGACAATAAACCAGGCTATGCTTT